GAATGAACTTCCATTCACAATTGCTTCAAAGAGAATAAAATACCTAGGAATCCAACTTACAAGGGATGTAAAGGACCTCTTCAAGGAGAACTACAAACCACTGCTCAGTGAAATCAAAGAGGACACAAACAAATGGAAGAACATACCATGCTCATGGATAGGAAGAATCAATATCGTGAAAATGGCCATACTGCCCAAGGTAATTTATAGATTCAATGCCATCCCCATCAAGCTACCAATGAGTTTCTTCACAGAATTGGAAAAAACTGCTTTAAAGTTCATATGGAACCAAAAAAGAGCCCGCATCTCCAAGACAATCCTAAGTCAAAAGAACAAAGCTGGAGGCATCACGCTACCTGACTTCAAACTATACTACAAGGCTACAGTAACCAAAACAGCATGGTACTGGTACCAAAACAGAGATATAGACCAATGGAACAGAACAGAGTCCTCAGAAATAATACCACACATCTACAGCCATCTGATCTTTGACAAACCTGAGAGAAACAAGAAATGGGGAAAGGATTCCCTATTTAATAAATGGTGCTGGGAAAACTGGCTAGCCATAAGTAGAAAGCTGAAACTGGATCCTTTCCTTACTCCTTATACGAAAATTAATTCAAGATGGATTCGAGACTTAAATGTTAGACCTAATACCATAAAAATCCTAGAGGAAAACCTAGGTAGTACCATTCAGGACATAGGCATGGGCAAAGACTTCATGTCTAAAACACCAAAAGCAACGGCAGCAAAAGCCAAAATTGACAAATGGGATCTCATCAAACTAAAGAGCTTCTGCACAGCAAAAGAAACTACCATCAGAGTGAGCAGGCAACCTACAGAATGGGAGAAAATTTTTGCAATCTACTCATCTGACAAAGGGCTAATATCCAGAACCTACAAAGAACTCAAACAAATTTACAAGAAAAAAACAAACAACCCCATACAAAAGTGGGCAAAGGATATGAACAGACATTTCTCAAAAGAAGACATTCATACAGCCAACAGACACATGAAAAAATGCTCATCATCACTGGCCATCAGAGAAATGCAAATCAAAACCACAATGAGATACCATCTCACACCAGTTAGAATGGCGATCATTCAAAAGTCAGGAAACAACAGGTGCTGGAGAGGATGTGGAGAAATAGGAACACTTTTACACTGTTGGTGGGATTGTAAACTAGTTCAACCATTATGGAAAACAGTATGGCGATTCCTCAAGGATCTAGAACTAGATGTACCATATGACCCAGCCATCCCATTACTGGGTATATACCCAAAGGATTATAAATTATGCTGCTATAAGGACACATGCACACGTATGTTTATTGCAGCACTATTCACAATAGCAAAGACTTGGAATCAACCCAAATGTCCATCAGTGACAGATTGGATTAAGAAAATGTGGCACATATACACCATGGAATACTATGCAGCCATAAAAAAGGATGAGTTTGTGTCCTTTGTAGGGACATGGATGCAGCTGGAAACCATCATTCTTAGCAAACTATCACAAGAACAGAAAACCAAACACCGCATGTTCTCACTCGTAGGTGGGAACTGAACAATGAGATCACTTGGACTCGGGAAGGGGAACATCACACACCGGGGCCTATCATGGGGAGGGGGGAGGGGGGAGGGATTGCATTGGGAGTTATACCTGATGTAAATGACGAGTTGATGGGTGCAGCACACCAACATGGCACAAGTATACATATGTAGCAAACCTGCACGTTGTGCACATGTACCCTACAACTTGAAGTTTAATAATAATAAATAAATTAAAAAAAAAAAAAAAAAAAAAAGAAAATGTGGCACATATACACCACAGAACACTATGCAGCCATAAAAAAGGATGAGTGCGTGTCCTTTGTTAGGGACATGGATGCAGCTGGAAACCATCATTCTCAGCAAACTATCACAAGAACAAAAAACCAGATACCACATGTTCTCACTCATAGGTGGAAATTGAACAATGAGATCACTTGGACGCAGGAAGGGGATCATCACACACCGGGTCCTATTGTGGTGAGGGGGAAGAGGGGAGGGATAGCATTAGGAGATATACCTAATGTAAATGACGAGTTAATGGGTGCAGCACACCAGCATGGCACATGTATAAATATATAACAAACCTGCATGTTGTGCACATGTACCCTAGAACTTAAAGTATAATAAAAAAATAATAATAATAAAAAAAAAATGGAAATAGACAAACATCAAGTCATGAGTGGATAATAAACCCTGCATGCATGCAATACTGTTAGGCAGTAAAATGGAAGGAACTACTGATATAAGGAATAACATGACTGAATCTCAAAAACATCATGCTAAGTGAAAGAAATCAGGAGCAAAAGGCTACATACTGTATGATTTGTTATGTTAAATTCTCAAAAAGGCAACATTATCAAAACAAAGTTTTAGGGATGTGGATTGACCACAGAGAGGCCCTAGGGAAACTTTTTGGATGATAGAAGGTTCTAAATGTGACTATACTAACAAAGCTCAACAAATTGCATACTTAAAATGGGAGAATTTTATTGTATGCTGATTATAGGATAATTTTATTGTATGCTGATTATACCTCATTAAAGCTGTAAAACAAACTGGCAAGCCTGAGACATTTGAAGTGAAAATTCTTACATGCCTTCCTTTTTCTTCTTAATCTGATAGAATTAACATATTGTTTGTGTTTCAAGCAGTTTTTCTCTAGGATACCAATGCACTTACACTAGATCAGTTGACTCATTGACTTAACAAAGAAGACTTACACAGTTGTTCAATTTTACATTGAATTTTTGCCATGTGATTATTCTTAAAAATTATTATCCTTTGCTATACATACTGAAATATTTGTAGGTGGAATATGAAGTCTGGAATGTACTTTAAAGTATTCTAAAAACCAAAAAGGGTTGTTCACATGAAACAAATTGGTAAATGTTGATAATTTTTGAGGCTGGATTATGTGTACCAGGGGGTTTATTTTGTTTCTCTATTGAATTATGTTTATGATTGGAATTTTCCATAATGAAAAGGGGAAAACTGAAACGATGACTAGATAAAATATAAACATAACAGAAATTCAGTTTCCTCTTGTATTAGTAATAACATGTTTGAAAATATGATAAAAATATAAAATAACTGGAATCAAACTTACAAGAAATATGTAAACCATACATCTTTGAGAACATGAAATGTAAGTCTTAACACATTAATAGATGGGAAGATTCAGTATTTTTCAAATAGCAATTTACCTGAAATTGTTTTGAGTTCCAGTGTAAATTTTAAATGAATTGTTTTTATTACTTGAAAAGTTGTCTTCGAAGGTCAATGAAAAAGCAGTGCCCATTAATAGAAAAGAAAATTTGAAAGGACTTTTCCTACAAGATATGAAAATATAATATAAAATTATAGCAATTAAGTGGCACTCTGTCTAGGGATTATCAGATAGTAGCTCCAGGAAATCAAATACAGAATCCATAAAGAAATGTTGGGGCAGTTGGATTACTGTGTGGGGAAAAGAATACTAAGACTTTACACCATACACAAAAATAAATCATGATAGGTTAAGTATTTAAATGTGAAAAACCATAAAAATCCAGAAAGAAAAATATTTGATTAAAGTTGATTACCTATTTGATAAAATACAGTTAACCCTTCAACAGCAATGGGGATTGGGGCATCGACCTTCATGCAGTTGAAAATTTGTTTGTAACTTTTGGGTTCCCAAAAACTTAACCTACTAACAGCCTACTGCTGCACAGAAGCCTTACCGATAACGTAAAATAGTCGCTTAACATGTTTTGTATGTTTCATGTATTATATACTATATTCTTTAATAAAGTAAGCTAGGGAAAATAAATCATTAATAAAATCATAAGAAAGAAAAAATATGTTCAGTGTTCATTAAGTGGAAATGAATCATCATAAAGGTCTTCCTCCCCATTGTCTTCACGTTGAGTAGGCTGAGGAGGAGAAAAAAGAGGAGAGGTTGGTCTTGCTGTCTCGGGGTGACAGAGGTGGAAGAAAATCTGTAAGTCAACCCGCACAGGTCAAACCCATGTTGTTCAAGAGTCAACAGTATTTGAAAAAATACTTGATAGTAATATATGAAAAAGAGTGAAAACCTCAATATGAAAAAAGTTCATGCATCAATAAGAGACAAAAGACATTGATGAGCAGCAACTCACAGTTGGCAAGAATACACCATTGTATGGGAAATATTATTAGTGTGCTAACCCATGATTAGCAGTCTACCTTACCACAGATCATGTATGTCAACTTGATTCAGTGTAAGATAGAGGTCATTTGTTGTTTTAATTTTTACCTTATTAATCTTTATTTTTCTTATTCTTTCCTGTTGTATAAATCCTTAAGCATCAAAAGTCTTGTCTTACACTTTTTACTTAACAACTATTAGTGGTAGTTAATTTTTGAGAACTCCTGCCAAGGACTTTTGAAAACAGCCTTTAAATTGTTAAGTGAGTTGTTGAGCTTAGCATAATACTATTGCCACATGACTTAATAATCCAACAGATTTTCTTAGATGGAAATGGAAGATACTAGAAAGTAATTGTCACTATACAGAAAACAAACATCTTTTAAACATACTCATACAGAGCTATGCAGTGGACTTACGTGATATATTTAAGTTACGTGACTTCAACGATGCTGTTCCTGTGAAATAGAAAAAGGAAAACAATGTAAATATAATGCAGAAGGTTCTGCCGTTCTACTGAACAAGTATATACATTATACAGCTATGCCTTTATACTTACATAAAGGGATTTGAAATGATTATTTTGACTATGTAATTTTCATTTTACTTTCTTAGTACAGAACCTAAATTTCTCTATGTGCACCTGATTTTTTATTTTATTTGGAAGGTCAGAAATAACTCTGTTCATTGAGTTTCAATTTTAATATTTACCATACTCCTTAGTTCTTAATTGCTTTGACCATAAATAATTTGATACCACCTTTATCTTATCTCATAGGCTACTGGATCAAGGTCAGTTCCTATGCCACTGTCAAATATATCAGTGCCAAAATCATCTGTTTCACGTGTGCCCTGCAATGTAGAAGGAATAAGCCCTGAATTAGAAAAGGTATTCATTAAAGAAAATAATGGGAAGGAAGAAGTATCCAAGGTAAGGTTACATGGGATATTTGAATCCTTTTTTTCTTTGATATAACGACCTGTCTGAAAAGTACTTTTTTAGTAACAGCTTTATTAGGATATAATTCACATGCCATCCAGTTTACTCATTTAGTGTACAATTCAGTGGTTTTTAAGAGATTCAGAGTTATACAACCATCACCACAATCAATTTTACAGCATTTTCATCATCCCAAAAAGAAACATTTTATCCTTTCACAGTGGACTCTCATTTCCCTGTAATACTCTTGGCCCTAGGCAGCCACTAATCTGCTTACGGATTTTTTGGTGGTGGTTCTAGACACTTCATATCAATGGAATCATACAACGTGGCCTTTTGTAACTGAATTTTTTTTTTTTAACTTAGTGTAGTGTTTTTAAGGTTCACCCATGTTTAGCCTGTTATCGGTGACTTTCTTTTTATGGCCAAATATTAATCAGTTATGTGGATTTTATTTATTCAGTTATCAGTTAATGGAAATTTGGATTGTTTCACTTTTCGGCTATTGTGAATAATGCTTCTATAAACATTTGCATACAAGTTTTTGTGTGAATATACTGTTTGCATTTCTCTTGGGTATATACCTAGGGTTGGAATTGCTGATATGGTAACTCTGTTTAACCTTTTGAGGAACTACCAGACTCTTTTCCAAAGTGTCTTCATCATTGTCCATTCCTACTAATGTATAAGAATTCCAATTTCTCTGCATCCTCACCAACACTTGTGATTATCTGTCCTTTTTTAACTATAGCAATATTAGTGGATGTGAAGTGATACATCATTGTGGTATTAATTTGCATTTCCTAGTGGCTGAAGATGTTAAGCATCTTTTCATGTGCTAGTGGTTTTTTTGTTTTGTTTTGTTTTGTTTTGAGATGGAGTCTCTCTCTTTCCCCCAGGCTGGAGTGCAGTGACATGATCTCAGCTCACTGCAAGCTCCGCCTCCCGGGTTCCCACCATTCTCCTGCCTCAGCCTTCCGAGTAGCTGGGACTACAGGGGCCCGCCACCACGCCCAGCTAATTTTTTTGTATTTTTAGTAGAGATGGGGTTTCACCATGTTAGCCAGGATAGTCTGGATCTCCTGACCTCATCATCCACCCGCCTTGGCCTCCCAAAGTGCTAGTATTACAGGCATGAGCCACCGCACCTGGCCTTTAGTGGTCATTTGTATATTCTCATTGGAGAAATGTTTTTTTAAGATCTTTTTCCCCATTTTAAAATTGGCAGTGAAATTGCTAGGTTGTAGCATTTGTACATTTAAAATCTTGAATATTGCCAGAATTACCCTCCCAAAAGGTTATACTGTTTTACTCTCCTTCAGAATTTCATGTTAGGTTTATACATTACAACATCAAGGAATTCTTCGGACATCATGGCATCCCTGTTTACCATTGAACTCTGTTTTTTGGGTTGTTTTTTTTTTTGAGACAGGATCTCATTCTTTTGCCCAGACTGGAGTGCAGTGGCACAATCTCGGCTTACTGCAACATCTGCCTCCCAGGTTCAAGTGATTCTCCCACCTCAGCCTCCTGAATAGCTGGGATTACAGGTGCACACCACCATGCCCAGCTAATTTTCGTATTTTTAGTAGAGACAGGGTTTTACCATGTTAGCCAGGCTGGTCTCGAACTCCTCACCTCAAATGATCCGCCCACCTTGGGCTTCCAAAGTCCTTGGATTACAGGCATGAGCCACTGTGCCCAGCCCATTAAACTGTTTTCTTTACACATTAAGTAAAGTTTAAGAACAGTAATGTAAGGATGTAAACTTTTGGTCTAATTTTTAGAGGATGAGATAATTCACATATTTGCTGATTCCTTAAAAACATCCTTAAAAAGCAAAACTGTACTAAAATAAAAAACTTGGTAAAGTACTTCTGCTTTTAAATAAGCCATACTTCAATTGTAGCCATATCAGAATTATTCTGGGATAACCTACAAACTTATAATTTTTAAAAGTTTTAGATTTATGATTAAGTGTACCTCAAAGTTTTAATTAATCAAAATATCACCATGAACTGGCCAGTAGCCAAAAAAGGAAAATTGTCTGGTTAACTATATCAGTATTCCAACATAGTTAACCAGACAACTTGTTCACATTTTTTTGTTTATAAAATGAACTGGTATATAAATAATTAAAAATTATCTTTAGAGTAGAATAGTTATTGTTGTATGAAGTTGGTATAGTTTTTGTTTAGCAGCATACTGTAGACAAATGAAGTTTTCAACTTTTTAGGTTCAAACATACATGTGCAGGTTTGTAATATAGGTAAATTGTATGTCACAGGAATTTGGTGCACAGATTATTTCACCACCCGAGTAATAAGCATACTACCTGATGAGGTAGTTTTTCAATCCTCACCCTACTCCCATCCTCTAGCCTCAAGTAGGCCCTGATATCTGTTTTTCCCTTCTTTGTATCTATATGTACTCAATGTTTAGTTCACATTTGTAAGTAAGAATATGTATAGTATTTGGTTTTCTGTTCCTATGTTAGTTTACTTAGGATAATGGCCTTTAGCACAATCCATGTTGCTGCAAAGGACATGATCTTATTCTTTTTATGGCTGCATAGCATTCCATAGTATATATGTACCACATTTTCTTTATCCAGTCTACCACTGATGGGCATTTAGGTTGATTCTGTATGTTTGTTATTGTAAACAGTGCTGTGATGAACATGTGCATTCTTGTGTCTTTATGGTAGAGCAATTTATATTTCTTTGGGTATATACTCAATAATGGGATTGCTAAGGTGAATGGTAATTCTGCTTTGAGTTATTTGAGAACTCACCACAGTGCTTTTCACAGTGGCTAAACTTATTTACATTCCCACCAGCGGTGTATAAGTATTCCCTTTTCTCCACAAACTTGCCAACATCTGTTTTTTTTGGCTTTTTTGTTTAGTTTTGGTTTTTTTGGTGACGGAGTCTCGCTTTGTTGCCCAGGTTGGCATGCAATGGCACAGTCTTGACTTACTGCAACTTCTGCCTCCTGGGTTCAAGCAATTCTCCTGCCTCAGCCTCCCAAATGGCTGGGACTGCAGGTGCATGCTGCCACGCCCGACTAATTTTTTTTTTTTTTTTTTTTTTTTAGTGGAGACAGGGTTTCACCATGTTGCCCAGAATGGTCTCGAACTCCTGAGCTCAGGCAATCTGCCTGCCTCGGCCTCCCAACGTGCTGGGATTACAGGCGTGAGCCACCACACCCAGCCTGTTTTTTGACTTTTTAATAATAGCCATTCTAACTGATGTGAGATGGTATCTCATTACGGTTTTCATTTGCAATTTTGTAATAATTAGTCATGTGGAACATTTTTTCATATGCTTGTTGGCCATGTGTATATCCTTTTGAAAAGTGTCTGTCCATGTGATTTGCCCACCATTTTTTTCTTTTTCTTCTTTTTTTTTTTTTTTTTTTTGAGACAGGGTCTTGCTCCATTGCCCAGGCTGGAGTGTAGTGGCACAATCATGACTTATTGTGGCCTCAATGCCTCAGGCCCAAATGATCCTTCCACCTCAGCCTCCTGAATAGCTAGGACTACTGGCACGTCCCATCACAACCAGCTGATTTTTTTTTTTTTTTAATTTTAGTACAGTCAAGGTCTTGCTAATTTGTCCAGGCTTGCCTCAAACTCCAGAGCTCAAGAATCCTCTTGCCTTGGCCTCCCAAAGTGCTGGGATTATAATTACAGGCATGAGCCATCACACCTGACCATTTGCCCACTTTTTAATGGGATTGTTTTTGCTGTTCATTTGTTTTCATTTTTTAGATTCTGGATATTAGACCTTTGTCAGATGCATAGTTTGCAAACATTTTCTCCCATTATGTAGGTTGCCTGTGTACTCTGTTGTTGAAAAACTCTTGTTGTGCAGAAGCTCTTTAGTTTAATTAGGTCCCATTTGTCAATTTTTGGTTTTGTTGCAGTTGCTTTTGGCATCTTTCTTAAGAAATCTTTGCCAGGTCTTGTGTCCAGAATGGTAATTCCTAGGTTATCTTCCAGTGTTTTTATAGTTTCAGGTTTTATATTTAAATCTTTGATCCATCTTGAGTTGATTTTTGTATATGGTGTAAGGAAGGTATCCAGTTTCAGTCTTCTACATATGGCTAGCCAATTATCCCAGCACCATTTATTGAATAGGGAGTCCTTTCCCCTTGCTTATTTTTCTCGGCTTTGTCAAAGAACAGATGGTTATAGGTGTGCAGTATTATTTCTGGGCTCTCTCTTCTGTTCCATTGGTCTGTATGTCTGCTTTTGTACCAGTACCATGTTTTGGTTACTATATCCTTGTAGTATAGTATGAAGTCAGGTCATGTGATGCCTGCAGCTGTGTTCTTCTTGCCTAGGACTACTTTGGCTATTCAAGCTCCTTTTTGGTTCTATATGAATTTTAAAATAGATTTTTCTAATTCTGTGAGGAACATCATTGGAAATTTGATGGGAACAGCATTGAATCTGGAAATTGCTTTGGACAGTATGGCTTTTTTGGGGTTTTTTTGTTTTTTTTTTTGGAGACAGTCTTGCTGCTCGGTGGCCAGGCTGAAGTGCAGTGGCATGATCTCGGCTCACTGCAACCTCCACCTCCCAGGTTCCAACAATTCCCCTGCCTCCGCCTTCTGAGCAGCTGGGACTACAAGCGTGTGCCACCATGCCCAGCTAATTATTATTATTATTATTTTATATTTTAGTGGAGACGGGGTTTCATCGTGTTGGCCAGGATGGCTTCAATCTCCTGACTGCGTGATCTGCCCACATCGGCCCCCCAAAATGCTAGGATTACGAGCATGAACCACCGCACTAGTATGGCCATTTTAACAATATTTATACTTCCTATTCATGAGCATGGAATGTTTTTCCATCTGATATTGTCATTTCTAATTTCATTGAGCAGTGGTTTGTAATTGTCATTCTAGAGATTTTTCCCCTCCCTAGATAGCTGTATTCCTAGGTAGTTTATTCTTTTTATGGCTATTGTGAATGAGATTGTGTT